TTCAAATTCAGTTATCTATCTAGCATGTCCTTTGACCAAGGGATATTCATTTTAAGGCACACCTATCTTGTTAGGACAGCAGGTCAAACCCAGGTGCTGAGTAACCTCTATCCCTAACCCATATCTGATTGGAATATGGCCAGCATGCTCTTATTCCTGCCAAATTGTTTTTCCAGACAGCATTTTTTAAAATCCACGTAATCTTACCCCCCCCCTTTTTTGCTCAGCAGGAAGTACACTTAAAGAAACTACATAGCCTTGATGTATGTAGTCATTTGTCTTTTAAAAATTAAAGTTTTTAAATTATGAAGTATTTCAAAATTACTAAAAGTAAATATTAATGAGAGTTTACAAATTTTAGTGTGTTATGTTATTTGATACACACACATGTTTGATGAATAGTCTAACAGATTCAAGGGTGCATCCCCCTTCATCCCCATTTCTCTTTTTTAATATCCCCATTATGTTCTAATATGTGTGTAATGAAAAAATATTAAATATGTGTTTTAGCTATCTATTGTGGATTGTTCTATGTATTCATTCTTTTTCTTTTTTTTTTTGACACAGGGTTTCTCTGTAAAGCCTTGGCTGTCCTCTAACTCCTTCTGCAAACCAGACTGGCCTTGAACTCAGAGATCTGCCTGCCTCTGCACCACCATGCCCTACCTATTAATTATAATTTTTGAGATTCAATTTATTGGCTTTCCAGTGTGCTGCAGGGATTTCTGAGATCCCTAATAGTCTTATAGGGGGGGTCTATAAAGTCAGATTTTCATAATACCATTATTTGCTCTTTTCATCCACAGTCATCTGTACATTATACACGTATTAGAGAATTCAACAGTGTCATAATGGAGTAAGCACAGAAACGATTGACATTCATCTTTTCCCCTGTGAAGTGAGTCATTAGATTTGCAGAATTGTAAAAGTTTCATTTTTACTTAAAAATTAATTCTAACATTATTTATGCTTATATATAATAAGATTTTTAATGCATTAATGTTTTTAAATCTCTATCTCAGCGATGGTGGTGTGCACACTTTTAATTCCAGTGCTCAGGAGGCAGAGCCAGGTAGATCTGAGTAGAGGCCAGCCTGAAATACCAGCCAGGACTACACAGAGAAACCTCTCCAAAAACCAAAACAAAACAAAAGCTCACTTCAGTTTCAGAGGAGCTTGAAACTTAGCAGTCCTGCTTTTAACCTCCCAAGTGCTTAGGTGTCACCAGGCTGGATGGACTTGTAGTTTCAAGTTCTTTAAGTATGAATGACATAAAAAAAAAAAAAACTTCTTGTGGTCCTTTATTTTTGAAAGCTTGAACGAGTCCTGAAACCAAAAGGTTTGAATGAAAACTACTGTTGTAGTTCACTCTTGGTGTTTGGGGCAAGCGGTGCTGGGCTTCAGAGCCAGTCTTTGACTGCTAGGAAAGCCCTCCCCATGCTGTACTTGAATGTATGAAAACACTGTGATGTTTCCTTCTGGGGGGGTTGGGGAGGCACGTGAGGCTGTTGGCAGTTTTCAGCACTTTCTAACAGTGCCGCTGTGAACATCCTCAAACAGCTCTCTGTCTCGAGGTGTGGTTGCTGCATTGAAGAAGTCTGCATTGTTAGTTTTACCGGGAATTGCCAAAATGCCCAGTTGCATTTGATAATCTTACCAGTTGTTTCTGAGCTTGATCATTGCCAAAATATTAGATTTTGCTATCTTTGTGAAACTGTTGGGTATAAATGCACTCTGCTTGCTGTGCTTATTTTGCATTTCTTTGGTTACTATTGGGGTTGGCTGGACCACCCCCTTCAAGTTTAGTGCCCATTTGAGTTTTCTGGGAATCATTTGTCCATGCATCCTTTTATTGACTTTTATGTTGAGCTCGCCCTTCCTTCCTTCCTTCCTTCCTTCCTTCCTTCCTTCCTTCCTTCCTTCCTTCCTTTTTCCTTTCCTTTCCTTTCTTTTTTGTTTTTGTTTTTCGAGACAGGGTATCTCTGTAGCTTTAGAACCTGTCCTGGAACTAGCTCTTGTAGACCACGCTGGTCTTGAACTCACAGAGATCCGCCTGCCTCTGCCTCCCAAGTGCTGGGATTAAAGGCATGCACCACCACTGCCTGTCCTGTTGCCTTTTTTCTTATGGTTTATGGATATTTTTGTATTCTGGATCCTAAAGATTTGTTATTATATATGATGAAAATATCTTCCTACTCTGTGACTTTTCTTGTAGTTTTGTTTACTTTTTGTGTAGGTCTTAATGTGAAAGTAGCCAGATTTGGCTGTGTGTGTGTGTGTTACCACTNATATTTCATGTACTGTGATCATATTCTCCCCATTTCCTTTTTGATTTTTTTTTTATAAGTTTTTTTTCCCCCCCAAGACAGGGTTTCTCTGTGTAATAGTCCTAGCTGTCCTGGATCTAGCTGTTGTAGACCAAGCTGGCCTTGAACTCACAGAGATCCATCTGCCTCCCTAGTGCTGGGATTAAGGGCATGCACACCACCACCGCCTGGTGTGCTTTTTCTTATGTACAATTTGGAAATTTTTTTCTAGTGTGTGATATAGGGATCTCATTTATGTTTGCATTTGAATTTCTCAAATAACTGAGCGTTGTTTCCCCAACCCCTGAGGTATACCATATTCCACACATCTGCACATCTGTTTTTATTTTGTTTAAATTTAATTACATTTTGTGTGTGTGTGGTGTGAGGTTCTCTATAATGTGGGTCCTGGGGATTGAATTCAGGTTGTCAGGTTTGGTTGCACGTTCTTATGCCCTCTGAGCCATCTCATTGGCTTCACATCTTTTTTTAGTTTCTCTTTCTGTTTTTATTGCCCTGTTTGGCTAGTTCTATCACTGCCACATTGATTTAATGATGATAGCTTTATAATTAAGTCTTTGTATATTCCTTTTTATCTTAAGGATTATTTTATCTGTTTTTTTTTTTTCTCCTTTAGGGTTAGTTTTTCAATTTCTGGGAAGAATGATTGGATTTGCATCTACTTCTGTTGAAAATTCTAGTCTTAGTTTATAATCTTGGTTGTGATTTAAGTCAGGTCTTCTTTTAGTTTGTTCTCTGACGTCCCTTTTGTGGCACTATGGACTAAACTCAGTGATTCACACATGCTAGACCAGTGTTCTTCTGCCAAGTTGTGTTTCTCCTTTTCCCTCTCTTGTATCCCAGACTGTTACTAGTTGTATGTAGCCAAGGATAACCTTGAATTTTGGATCTTCAGTCTCCTCCAGAATTACAGACATTTATTACCATTTATTACCATTATGCTCAGTTCCTTGGTAGCCTTTTAGATAGCATGGTGTATGCAGTGCTGGGGATTGAACCCAGAATTTCATGCGTGTTAGACAAGCAAACTATATCCTCAGCCCCTGCAGTCCTGTTTTTTTTTTTTTATTGTTAGTTTTTTTCCACATACTTGTTTATGTTGGCCTTGAATTTATTCTTTAGCTCAGGTTGGACTAGAATTTGAGGTTTTCTTACCACAGCCTATGGAACTAGGGGCTCTGCTGCCAGCTCCCTTCCCCCATTTGTGCTGAGGCTTGACTCCAGGACCTTGTGCACGATAGCTAGACAAGTGCTCTTCAACTGGGCTGTACAAGTCTAACTTTCTATTCTGTTTTCATAAGCAGTGTGGTGAATTGATCTTACATTGTTGAACTCTCAGGATGTATGTCATGGATTTCCTTCCTACATTTTAACATCTTAAAATAAAAATAGAGCCCTGTTGATGGTATTGTATAATGAATTCCGTGCCTAGGCAGGTGTCATCATATAGTTACAATTGCTTGCACAAGCACAGGCTTGGTCAGGACTCTTAATTTTCTTATCACTTTAGAGAATCTGTGCATTGTTTCATACTATTTCATGTCAAACAGTGCAACAGAACACAGAAGCAGTTGCTAAATGGGTGTCTACCTTCAAAGAAAATCCACAGATAATAGTAAAGCGTTTTAGGGAATGCTGCATCACCAACACTTGCTGACAGAAAATAGTTTTGTTAGGAACAAGTGAACAGGATTGAAGAGTTAGAAGAGCGACTCACAGAACCCTGAATGTAAATTAGGAATGACCTGCTAATTTCTCTGAATCATAGGGGCCATGGGTGTGTATGTGCGCGCACGTGTACATTCATACGTGTACAATATAGTATGAAAGTCCTACCTAAATAATTCCAAAGGTTTTTTTTTTTAATTTTGGTAAGTCTAAATGAAAATCCTAGATAATAAGGAAATAGGATATTCTATTAATTGATTGTTTTTTCCCTCTACAGGTGTGTATCACTGTGCCCAGCTAACCTTGTAAGATGAATTGGGGAGTATTCCCTCTTTTTTGAAACAGGTCTGTTTAATAGAAGTGATCTGATTATTGAAAGTTAGACAGATCTCCATTTGTAAAACTGTACTTGGTTTCTTTTTCCTTTTTTGGTAGGTTTTGGATTTGATTGATGATTGATGATTTTTGGAGACAGGTTTTCTTAGTGTAGTCCTGGCTGTCCTGAAGCTTGCTCTGTATGTAGCCCATGCAGAGATCCGCCTGCCTCTGCCTCCCGAGTGCTGGGATGAAAGGCGTGTGCACCACTGCCCGGCTGGACTTGATTTAGCCGTAGCCTCTTCTCTCCCATGGTATGGCCTTTTGGCTTTTCTTGAGTTTTTCTTTACTTTTTGGTGATTTATACAAAATAAAGTTTCCTTTCTTAGAAAAGTATAAATTCTCAACTGTTTTGATAAATACAGGGTTTTTTGATGATGTTTAGGAAATTGACTTTAATTACCATTTTTTTATTAGTGTTATTCATAAGTTAGTAACTAACCTGTACTTTCCAGACTTCTCCAGCTGTTCATTTTATGGGTGCTTTGTGTTTCTACTCTGGGAACTATTATTGCCTTCCTTCTGCTTTGTTTCTGTGTGTTCTGACATTAAAACAAATTCATTTGGAGGCTTGCTTATTTTTCTTAACCCCCCCCCCTTTTTTTTTTGAGACAGGGTTTCTCTGGTTTTGGAGCCTGTCCTGGAACTAGCTCTTGTAGACCAGGCTGGCTTCAAACTCGCAAAGATCCACCTGCCTCTGCCTCCCAAGTGCTGGGATTAAAGGCGTGTGCCACCACCGCCCGGCTATTTAACTTTTTTTTGAGGTACATGTATTGAAGTTTGAAAACTTTTCTCTGATAACTAGTTCTTATGATTTTGATGCCTCTTTATTATTAAGTGGTTCTAAATACATTGTCCTTTTTTGTGTGTGTGTGTGTGTTAAAGATGAGGTTTCATGTAACCCTCTCTCTAACTGGCCTGAAACTTGGTGCTCAAACTTGCTGTTAGCCACTGTAGTTTTTGGTGCCTGTCCTGGAACTAACTCTTGTACACCAGGCTGACCTCAAACTCACAGAGATCAGCCTGCCTCTGCTTCCCAAGTGCTGTGATTAAAGGTGTGCGCCACCCCTGCCCAGCTGTTTTGTTTTTGTTTTTTGAGACCGAGTTTCTCTGTGTAGCCCTGTCTGACCTAGAACTTGCTTTGTAGACCAAGCTGGTCTAGAATTCAGAGATTTGCCTGCCTCTGTGAGTTCTGGGACTAAAGGCATGCATCACTACGCCTGGCCTGCTTCCCTTTTTGAATGATTTAATTTTGACTATTATTTGGCTCCTACCTTTAACACGGCGATGATTGTACTGTATTAACTTTTCTCTGTTTGTGGAATGGGTCTGTACTATTAATATTTTTTGTTGTTTTGAAAGAGAGTTTCTCTGTGTAGCCTTGGCTGTCCTAGAACTAGCTCTTGTAGAGAGCAGCCTGGCCTCGAACTCAAGAGATTCACCTGCCTGATGGGTGTTATTTATAATATTTAACTTGGAATTCATAATAGCAAAATTTCTAGTTTGGTTAAATTGTTTTGTGTTTTTGTTTTAAGTGACAAATCACTTTTGTAAAAATAATTGACAAAGCTTTCTTTGTGTTCTGGTGTAGTTCATACAGTTTGGGGAAAACTTGATGATTTTTGAAAGTGTTATACCTAACAGCTATATTTATTTTAAAATGGTGATTACACTTGTTTTTTCCTTCCTCCTCTTTCTTTGGTGGTAGGATTGAGCCCAGGATCTTGTACATGATAGATGAGCATGTTACCACCAAGCTGCCTCCAGCCTAGGTTCTGTGTCTAACAAAGTTACTGCTGGTAATTTGCATGTCCCCTCAATGTGTTGGCGTTAACTTAGTCTTAGAAGTTTGCCATTTTTTCTATATCAGCCCCCCCCCCCAACTTTTATTTTTAGGTTTTTAGTTTAGTAGTATTTTATTGTCTTTGTACTTTCTTTAAAACAAAAAAACAAACAAAAAAAACCAGCCTTAGATTATTCCTTCCTTAAATTAGGTGGTTCCTTAGTTTAGTTCCAGGGGAAGATTGAAGTTTAAACGCTCATTGATAGTCAGCTTGGAACATATTTACTGCTGGTCTTGTAGGGCAAACCCAGCCTGTTCTTTTGTTTAACAGCTCAAGGATTTATTAAGTTATTTGTGTAAAATTTAATTGCTAATTGCATTAACAGAAGATCAGTGTAGAAAGACTCTACAGTTTCTGCAGCTGCCAATTTAAAAACATTGTTCTAGTTACGGAAAGGCCCAATATTCTTGCCAGTGTTTAGGACATGTGGAGACCATTACTGGTGTTAGTACTACAACTGCAGCATCTCCGAGACCTAACATAGCATATTTAGGAAAAGTGGTAATAGAAGTCGTGTTCATGTCGGTAAGGTATAGTAGTTACTTTTAGTGTTGGTGTTGTGGTAGGACAGTGATGTTAACTGTTCATAGTTAGTTTACCCGTGGTGGCCCATGCCCTTAATCCCAGCATTTGGGAGGCAGGGGCAGGTAGAATCTCTAGTTCAAGGCCATCTGGTCTACATAGGAGTTCCATGACAGTCGGGGTTACATAGACTAATTCTCAACAAACAACCCCAAGCAAAAATAATTAATAAAACCATAAATAAATGTTCAAAGTTTATATTTGTGGTATTGCATAGAACCCATTTTCATAATGCTGGGCAAGCACTTTAGCACTGAACTATATAAAAAGTACAAAATGGCAATATGTGATTTTTTTTTAAAGTAGTTACCAGACAATTAAGAAGAGAATTAGTTTGAATAAAGTAGTTGAAGGTGAGCGTACAGTAAACTATAAATAGAAGGCATATAGAGTAGCTCCACCTGTCATTCCAGCACTCAGAAAGCTGAGACAGGAAGATTGTTGTGATTCAAAGGCAGCCTGGGCTGTTGTAAGAATTCTTTTTCAAAAAATCAAAACCTAGCAATAGCAAATGAGTCGCCAGGTGAGGATGCCTGCTGCTAAGCCTGACTACCTGGGTTCAGTTCTTCGAGACCACATGATAGAAAGGGAAGGCTGACTTGGGGGCTGTCATCTGACCTTCACTAGGAAAACACAACGACACAAAACCCATTAAGTTCTAATGTAGTAGAAAGGCTTTGTTTTGTTTTGAGAGAGGGTCTCTTTGTGTAGTCCTGGCTATCTTTGAAGTTACTTACTATTTAGACCAGGCTGTCCTCAGTCAGACAGACTCAAGGAGTACCCTCTGCCTCTTCAGTGCTGGGATTTAAGGTATTGCACTACCATGCCCAGCCTAAGTTGTTGTTGTTTAAATGCAAGGTTATATATATGACTCATTGAGAAAGGGACTGCGTAAGAAAAACACTCAGCTAAGTTAACAAATTATCAGATGACTAGGCCAGCAATTAATTAAATACCCAGTTTGGTAAAAGATGACTGCAGGGATTCGAGGAACAAAGGAAATGGACAAGGAAGCACTTCCTTATAACACTAACGTTTCTTTACCCTGCATTGCAGTTGATGGGAAATGATTTTTTTAAGTTTTACCTGTGGATGGTTTTATTTCATATATTTTTGTCCAATGTAGATTAAATTAATCTCTCTATTTTATGTTTAAATACCGTCTTCATCCTCGTTTTACACATTGCACTCCAGTACTGCACTTACAGCTAAAGACAGAATACTCTACTTGAGGAGACGCGAGTAGGACTTTGAAAATCTCAGCAAAAGGTACAAAGCAACTTAAAAATCAGTCACAGTTGAAGTGGGAGAGGGTGAACCAGAGTTGTTACGTTTGTTCCTTTATGATAAACAGTAGAATGTTATATGGCAACAGTGGATTGGTAAATTACTGCATGAATTTAAAGGACATTGTTTTATAAAAGAGTTAATGCTTTCTATGTCTGAAAACAAGTGCAAAGCCTGTACTATTTCTACCATCGAGCTAGTCTTAAAAGCATTTAACACAGCGTGGTATTGTTAGCTTTCAAATGCAGCTAAATTTAGAGGATATTTTTGGCAGTTCTTAATCTGAACAGGAATAGGGGTTTTGGAAAAATAAGGGTTTTAAGTTTGTCATTTTAGGGCCAATTTTTAATAGATTGTGAAAGTTCGGACTCAAACTTTAAACAAACAAAACCTTGAAATTACCAATTGGCACAGAATGGTTTTATGGAAAAACTAGTCTAACAAAAACTTGGCATTGAATTCCTGAGTGAAACATACAAAAAGTTCCAAGTGGGACAGGGCAAAGAAGGACAGACAGAGTTCTTCCATTCACAGCAGCAGGCATTCTCTCTGCGTGAGGGGCTTGGAGCCTGGACCTCACAGCTGTGCCCACTGTGTGGATGCTGGGAATTGACTCTGGGTCCTCTGGAAGAACAGTCAGTGATCTTAACTGCGAGCTATGTCTCCAGCACCAGATTTAATTTTTTAAATTTTTTTTTTTGTTTGTGGGTTTTTTTTTTTTTCCGAGACAGGGTTTTCTGTAGCTTTGGAGCCTGTCCTGGAACTAGCTCTTATAGACCAGGCTGGCCTCAAGCAAACTCACAGAGATCTGCCTGTCTCTGCCTCTCAAGTACTGGGATTAAAGGCATGCACTATTACCGCCCAGCTTTTGTGTGTGTTTTTTTTACACACTTTCATACTAATTTTTTTGTACAATAAAAATCATGACTTTGGATTCAACATAGAATAAAGATCAAATACCTTTGCTTTTCCTTTCTGCCAAAATCAAATTGAGGATAAAAATAAAATCCTGGCGTTGGGGGGAACCCTGAAATGTACTTTTCACCAGAATACTGTGATTTTCTTCTTGAATAAAGCAATTTAGAATCTGTCAATGGCAAAAACCAAGAGTTTTAGAGAATCTGTGGCTAAGAAGTGGTATCCTGTAAGAACAAGTCGTGGATGTAGCCAGGTGGTGAAAGCTGAGCCATTTCCCTGTGGGTGTAGGTAGGGCTTATCTTTGGTGGTTTTGCAGAAGGAAATGCATTAAATTATCTGAGTTGCACATTTGTTTGTACACATGAATTTGCAAAATGGGTGCTGTGGCAAGAAAGGTTGGGGTATCTGGGCAATGGTAGCACACACCTTTAATCCCAGCACTCAGGGAGGCAGAGGCAGGCTAATCTCTTGAGTTTGAGGCAAGCCTGGTCTACATAGCAAGTTCCAGGACAGCCAGAGATAACACCCTGTCTCAAAAAAAAAAAAAAAAAACCAAAAAATAAAACTAACAAAATCCACAAAGGTTGGCATGTTAGGCAAGGTACTTTATTTCTGAGCTATATTCTAAGCCCTCTTTTTCTTTTTAAGACTGAATTCACCCTGTAGCACAGTCTGGTCTCAGTCTCCCAAGTAGGTAGGATTGTCGGCCTGTGCCACCAGGCCCATCTAAGGGGCAGTGTTTTAGTTGGCTTATTCTGCAGGCTATGATACTGGCCATGGGAAATGTTGCACTTTGCCACTGTTGAATGAAAGCCTGACTGATGACACGGGTTTTTCTCTCTCTTGTATACTGATATGAGAAAGGATGCCTGTGACTTAGATGGTGACTGTTAGAACACAAGTTCACTACTTGTCAAAGCAGAGCTTTTCATTGGGGCTGAGGAAAGTCTCCTGGCTGTCAGTGTAACTAATTTAGCAACTTGTTTATAAATGTGAACAACCAAAAGGAACAATGCTTTTGAAGAAACCCAGCCGTTTGGAAGGGGCTTCCAAAACAGCCAACTGAATAATAGAGCACTAGAGAAGAAAGTGTAATGTTGGCTATAGAATAAGCATTGGGGTCTCAAATATCTGGGAAGATGTTTGTCTACCAAAAAAAAAAATTTAGACGATAACTGTAGGGGGGGGAAACACCTCAGTTTGTTTAGGAACTCTTGCTAGGTGTGGTGCCATACTCCTTTAATTCCAGCAGAGGCTGATGGATCTGTAGATCCCAGGGCCCTCCGGGACAGCCAGGGACAACATAATAGACAGACCTTGTCTCAAATTCAAAACAAAACAAAGCATCTTATTTGTGACTGTCCACGTAGCTAGTATAGAAAAGTTAGTAGAAAAGTAGATATAAGAAGAGAAAGTTGGGGGTCAGAGAGACAGCTCAGTGGTTAAGAGCTTATAGAAGACCAGCGTCCGTGTTGGACAGATGTACCATCTGTAACTTCAGCTCCAGAAGATCCCATACCTGCCCCTGTGGATCCCTGCACTCACATGCACATACCCACACACATAAATTCATAATTCAGAGGCAAATAAGAGGGAAGTTAGTGATAATAGAGGACAGATTTAGGAGTATTTATCCTGTAATAGGAACTCACTCTAGTAAGAGCGAATAGAGAAGCCAGTAGAGTGGCACTCAGGAGTTTGAGGCAGGAGAATAGTTACCGGTTTGAGACCAGCCTGGGGCTGCGTGAGTACAACAAGCCAGCCTTTTCTGAGACCACAAAACAAAAGGAAGACTAGAGAAAATGGAAGGAGCTGGCTGGGGTTCCATCTAGTTCAGTGGTAGAGCACTTAACCTAGCATGTACGAGGTCTAGAATCAATCTTTAGTTCTGAAAAAATGCATTAGCAATGCCTGGAAAAACAATAAAATGTCCAGTATGCAAGAACTTAGCTTGACCTTATGACATAGATATTGTAATACCAGTGGGAAAGACTGAGGCCGGAATTGCTTCAGAAACTGAAAAAGAAGGCTGAGATTCAACTTTCTGGTAGACTACCTGAAACGTCTAGTACCAAAAAACCAAGAAAATTTCCTTTGTTTAAGAAGGGGTCAAATCTTGATTGAAGGGCCCACTGAGCATACATTTGAGTTGAGAAGAGCTTGTTAGAATGATAACATCGAAAATAAATAAAAACTGATGAGATTTAGGAATATCTGACTTTAGCCAGGCATATAGTAGCTAATTTAGTACCAGCACTTGGGAAGCAAAGGCAGGAGGGTGAGTTTGAGGGCAGCCAGGGCTGAATAGTAAGACCCTGTCCTGAAAAATAAAAAGAATAGCTGACTTTGAGGGTTAACCTAAGAGAAATAAAATATGTGTCTGGATTTGAGACTATTTGGAGAAATAGCTAATATTGAACAATGTGGCAAAAAATTAGGAAAGCTTACTTTGGAGGGAAGATAGTAGGTTTTCATAGCTGTAAATTTTCACCATTTTTACTTTCTGAAAATAATTCTGGATAGGCTTGCTTTTGTTGCTCTTGGGAAGTTTGAACCATTTTATCTACCATATATTTTACAAATTAGTTCTCTGAGTGTGACAGAAATGACGGTAGTCAGCCATTTTATTACATCAAAGTTCTAGGGGACCACAAGCAAAAAAGTGGTTTTTGAATAAGTATATTGGCAATATACATATCTAAGACTCCTGTTAATTTACCGAAGAAAGTAGTCAAAGCAATGTGTGGGTATAGGGAACTAGAACTGCCGTAAGTTAGAAGCCAGCATGGACTGCGCTGTAAGATCCTGTCTCCCCCTCCACCTCCCCAAAAGGAAATTAAAGAAATATAAAATCAGCAAATTATCCTAAATTCTGAATTTAAGAGATAAAATGCCATTACTCTTCCTACTGAGTTGGTGGGAGTGTTTATTGCTCTATTTTGAAGATTGGAAGTAAGGAAGCATGGGAATTTTGTGTGGATTTCTCCCAATTCATTCTTCCCTTAAAACTTCATTTTCCATTGTGACTTCTTTCAGAATTACGACTTACGTACCAGGAGGGAATAGTTTTCCAAACTAGGGTAAAGGAATCTCAGAGGTGCTTTGAGGGTGCTTGAGAAAGGTAGTAATAATTTGGTTCTTTGTTCTTTTTCATTTGGATTTCATCTTGGTGCTCTGAACCATTGTGTTTATTTGGCTACTTTTGGAGGTTGGTTCCTGCTCCACAGCACACAGACACTTACACAGACAAATCCGTGTCATTGTTGGCCTACCTTTTGCAATGACTCTTACTTGATTTTACCCCAGAGAGTATTTCTAACAACACAATTTCATTTTGATTGTCAGAGGGAATTAACAAGTCTAACCCTGGAGGGGTTACAAAGCCCTCAGTATAGTCATTTCTACTTGTAAGGACAAAGTCTTATTTTTCCAAACCTATTTGAGTTTTGCAATGGCCCTCTTCCATGTTTGCTAGAATATGTTAGAATATGTGTATGATTAAAAGATGAAAATAACAGCAGATAATTGTCTCCTGGCACGTCAGGTTCATATTGTAGAATGAATATGGGGGGTGGGTGTGGGGTGGGGTAGGGGGGGATGCTGAAGTATTCTGAGCCCAGGGGAGTGCCTTCAAAGCAGTGGTAGGAGGATTAGTCTTCCACAGATAACAGGAATGCCTCAGAATTTGGCACCTATTCAACTTGTGCTGGGTTCCTAGTCATTTGTTATGGGAGTGGCAGTAAAGAGCAAGGCTACTTGAGAGGCTATTTTCACGCCTCAGGGATCAGGAAGTATGAAGCTGAGAGACTGTAATAAAGACTGGAGATAATAAGAACTGGGATGGATTGCTGAGAAGTTCTGCAAAGAAGTAGTTGACAAGATCTGGCATCCTGGACTGACAGTGAGTGGGGAAGGAGGAGAAAGGAATAGTGGCCAAGAGTTGTCAGTCTGGTAGAGGCTTAAGGTTCTGCTTTGAGTATATAAATTTTGGTGGTCTGTGCAAATAGCCCAGGGGAGTAGAGAGAAAACAGTAAGAGAAAATAGTTAAGTGTACCAGACTAGAATTAGGCTTCAGTTTTAGTGTGGTGAGGGGAGTCAGGGCAGCTAGCTGTGTAGAGAAGGGGAAGAGACTTAGGATGGCACTTGGAAAAACAGGCAGGAATGAACTTCAGAATCAGTGGAATTGATTACCTGTTAAAGTCTTAATAGAAAAGCCAAGAGAGATAAAAGTGGAGCAAAGTAGTTGTTAAACAAGTTGAGAATCTTTAGAGTTAATGGGAATTAGTCTTATGTAGGGAGATTTGAGGAATGTGGAACCTAAGAACCTTAATGTATTCCCTTAGTTGACTTAATTTCATGTAATATTTCATTATGCTTAGAAGGTTAACTTAGCAGGGCAGTGGTGGCGCACGCCTTTAATTGGGCAGCAGAGGCAGGTGAATCTCTGTGAGTTCGAGGCCAGCCTCGTCTACAAGAGCTAGTTCCAGGACAGGCTTCAAAGCTACAGAGAAACCCTGTCTTAAGTCCCCCTCCTCCCCAAGAAAAAAAGGGTTAACTTAGATTTGTCATTTCATAGTTGCAATTTTAAAAAGGGAAAAGAATTCTAGCCAGAGGTAATTCTGGTAGGGAGTGGGTGGTGACAGCTTAGAGCATGTACACTTTGTTTTTCATGGTTGAACGGGTTTTTTGTTTATTAATTTAGCCATCATTTGTTTTAATTTCAAATTGTTTTTTAACACAAAACAGCTATTTCTTGGAAGTGAATAGAATCATTGCTGACACACTGAAAAACATTTGTTATATAAGTTTTGGGTTTCTCGTGATATTTCTTTAAGAATTATATGGCCCTAGTGTGTCAGGCCAGGGTTGAGATGTTCTGCCATTTTTGTTTACTGAAGTGTGTGTGCCTGTGTGGTGCTGGGAGGTACTTGGGAGAATGGTAGGAAAGAGAATGATGGAAAGACAGTTTGGAGTTAGAACTTAAGATTAAACAGGAATGATGCTTAGAAAAATTACTTTGTTAAAATTTTCATGAGTATATAGTATTTACTAACAAAATTAAAGGCCAAAGAAAGATGTATCTAATAGCTCCATTTAGATTGAATTAAAAAGTGAGAAAATAGAGATAGGGAAACCATTGAGGAGATTTACGCAGTACTTAGAAACAGGCAAGTAAAATCTTTGGTGTCTGATCTTTTGAAGTAGTAACCAAATAGTACTTGGTAATATATTACTTGATATGTTAAGTTTTTGCTTTTTGCTAAGTAGGCGAGATAGAATTAAGGTCATTGGGGTGCCTTCAAAATCCCAAGGAAAGAGAAAGTGGGGCTTCAGGGAGTTCTGGGCTCAGAATCCAAAAAATCAGTTGGTAAGCCTCCTCTTCCGCCTTCGTCTACTTTCTCAGGACATTCACTTGATTCTTTTTGTTGGTGGACTTTATTTCACTGGTCTGAACCAAAGTGGGAAAATGACTTCTCAGTTCCTCTGTTCTAGCAGCCTAGACTGAGAGATGGAGGTAGACAGAGAGTGCAAGCCGGGATCACTAGAAGAGATTCTCATTCTTGCTCATGGTTGCAGACTTTTGAGAGTAGGAAGTTGATTTTATTGTGCTCAAAAATGAACTTTAAAAAAAAAAAACATTTCATAGCTAGTACTAATCACCTATGGCCCAAAGAATTAAATACACTGAAAAATTGCATAAATCAATTAAGAAAGGCGGTGGCACACACCTTTAAGGTATGGTCTGCGAGCGAGTTCCAGGACAGCCAGAGCTACACAGAGAAACCCTGTCTCGAGGTGGGGGGGGGGGAGGAGTCACTCACTGTAAAATGGAATTCCAGAATGTTCTTACTACCATTACCTTTACTATAATTAGGTACTTTGGGTTTCTATGATTGTTCAATATAGTGGTTGAAAGGGAGGGTATATAAGTTTAGAGAAGTAATATAAAAATTGTGCAGAAATTTCCCACAGTAAATTATAGAATGAATTTTTAGTTGAACCTTAAACTAGTTGCCAGGAGGTGGTGGCATACACTTTTTAATCCCATCACTTGGAAGGCAGAGGCAGTACTTTGAGGTCAGCCTGGTCTACAGAATTGGGTTCTAGTACAGCCAAGGCTACATAGAGAAACCCTGTCTTGAAAAGTCACAAAAAACAAACAACCAACTCAAAACAAAAATAAAAGATCATTGACTGCTTTTCCAGAGGGCCCAGGTTCAAATTCTAAAACACATGTGGTAGCTTATAACCATCCATAACTCTACTTCCAGGAGAAACTTGGCACCCTTTTCTAGCCAGTGGCATGAACCATGTATGTTATCCATTCACATAAGGTAAATAATTTTTTTTGTTTTTGAGACAGGGTTTCTCTATGTGGTCCTGGCAGTCCTGGAATTCCCTCTGTAGACCAGGCTGGCTTCAGACTCGGATATCTGCCTGACTCTGCCTCCCAGGTGCTAGCATTAAAGGTGTGCTCTGATACCACCACCTGGCTCAAATAAATCTTTAAAAGAGATGTGTATATAGGCAGTATCCCAACCTACCAAATTTACTTGTTTGTTTGTTTATTTTTGGGTTTTTGAGACAGGGTTTCTTCCATGTACCCCTGACATTCTGGAGCTTGCTTTGTAGACCAGGCTGGCCTGGAACTTAATAGAGATTGACCTGCCTCTTCCTTTCAAGTACTTGGTTTAAAGGTGTGTATCACCACTACCCTGCAGTAAATTTATTTTTATTTTATTGATTTATTTGAGACATGACCTCACTAGACAGGGTCTTACTGTGTAGCTGAGACTGATTTGGAATCCTCTGTGTAGCCCAGATTGGTCTTGAACTTGTGAGTCTCCTGCCTCAGCCTCCCAAATGCTGGGATTATAGGTGTATACCTGGCATGTGTCTCAGTTAATAATGGGCCTGGGTAAAGGTGATCCTTTTGATGTATATGTTTATATATTAGATATTTGTCGGTCATAAAACTTGAGTGCTTTAGAAATGAAAATGTGACATTAAAAAAAAGGATACCCAAACTAACACTGACTTAACTTTTCCCCTTGATTTAGGAGTTGTGACTGATGAGAATTGAAGGCCATGGATGAAGATGGACTTGAATTACAATCACAGGCGCCAAACTCATTTTTTGATGCAACAGGTATAATGACTTGTAATTACATTGTGCTTTTTATCTACCAGATGGAGAGTTTGTTATGGGCCCAATTGTTAACTCTCATAGTCACGCTTGGATTTCAGAATCAACAAATGGGAAAGTGAACACATTATCATCCTTCTACCCAAAAATTTGACTTACTTATAACTGACTTTAATATTCTTGTCAGTACAAGCTGAATAGCCTTAATCTGAAAATCCCAAATGCTCCAAAACCCAAAACTTATGAGTGCTGATAGGACACCACAACTAGAAAGAAAATTCCACACCCCATTTCATGGCATGGGTTGAAGTAAAAGTACATGCATATGAAGAATGACCTTTAGGCTGTATATGTAAGGCACATATAAAAGAAATGAATTTTCGTGTTTAGACTTAGATCTTTACTTAACTCATAAAACTTAACTTTTTCTGGACTGGCAGCCAAGATACTGGATTTTTCAAAAATTTTGTTTTGTATTTCTCGTAAGGATGTATAATTGTTCTGTTTGTAGCATTTGTTGAGAACAATATTTACTGAGCACCGTATGCTGTGCAAACTGTGATCTCAGTTAAGTCATTTAATCTCTTTGGGCAAAAATTGATTCATTTCCTGTCACCCCTTTAACTAAAACGGACTCTGGAAGAGTTTCCTGTATTATGAGCTGCTTTTGGGAGTGACACTGGGAAGGAGGCTTAATAGAATCCAGTACTCTGGAAGTCTGAATCCAGACTGAAGTCAAGGGTAGGTTCCTTCTACTACCTCCCCTTATCCCACTGCCCCTTGGCAGTGGCATTTCTGTTCACTGTCTGTCAGTAGAGATAGACAGCCTCAGGCAGATTTTCTTCTGTCCTCCTTTTCTTTTTGATTATACCCCAATCCTTTTACCTTCTAGAATAAAGGTCAAAGTCTAAGATTCCATAGTCAGGTGGAGACTGTTGGTGGTGCCAGAACCAAAAGGAGAAGGATGTGAAGGAAGTGGAAAAAAAAATCATGGGAAAAATGGAAAATAAAAAAATACAAGTTGTGGGAAGGGAGATAGACCAAGAAGGAAAATGCATGAAAAGCATATAAATGGATGCATTTGCCACCTGTAGTTACATTACTTAAGTTTTTAGAACCATGCCTTAAGTAACTGAATGTGTTTTAGTGTTCCTAGAATTTTACTGTCTTGAAGGTTTTTTTTTTTGTCTCAATTGTATTATTATCAATAGTTTTTCCTTTATTTATTGATTTGGGGTAAGTACTTAGAGTATGCTAAAAAGTGTCTTTTTAAATTTTATTTAAAATAGATTATTTTTCCAAGGCAGAGGATCCAGGGGAATCTAAATGTTTAAGAAAACTGATAAATTAGTGTATTTTGGGTGAAATTGAATAATAATTTTGCTGATTGGAATATGTAGTACTGAAGTTGATAACTTTATTTACTTATGTCTTAGCCACTGTTGTATTGCTGTGAAGAGACACCATTTAGAAGAGAAAGCATTTAATTGGGGGCTTGCTTATAGTTTCAGAGGTTTAATCTGTTACTACTGTGAGGAACATGACTGGAGAAATAGCTGACAACTACAGAGTTTTATCCAGATTAGGAGGGAGGGAGAGACAGAGAGAGACTGGGCCTACCACATGGGCTTTTGAAACCTCCAAGCTCACCCTCTGTGACACTCTTCCTCCAACAAGTACCCACCTCCTAATTCTTATGATGCTTTCAAACAGTTCCACTCCCTGATGACTAAACATTCAAATACATGATCTGATAGGGGTCACTTTTATTCAAACCACCACACTTGCTTAAGACTTTGTTTATTTTTTAGGAGCTGGTGCTACACACATGGATGGGGATCAAATTGTTGTGGAAGTACAAGAAACGGTTTTTGTGTCAGATGTTGTGGATTCAGACATAACCGTGCACAACTTTGTTCCTGATGACCCAGACTCAGTTGTAATCCAAGATGTTATTGAGGACGTTGTTATAGAAGATGTCCAGTGTCCAGATATCATGGACGAAGCAGATGTATCAGAAACAGTCATCATCCCAGAGCAAGTGCTGGACTCAGATGTAACTGAAGAAGTTTCTTTAACACACTGCACAGTTCCGGATGATGTTTTAGCTTCTGATATTACTTCAGCCTCGATATCTATGCCTGAACATGTCTTGACAAGTGAATCTATACATGTGTCTGACGTTGGTCACGTTGAACATGTGGTTCACGATACTGTAGTAGAAGCAGAAATCGTCACTGATCCTTTGGCCGCCGATGTTGTTTCAGAAGAAGTGTTGGTAGCAGACTGTGCCTCTGAAGCAGTCATAGATGCCAATGGGATCCCTGTGGATCAGCAAGATGATGACAAAACCAACTGTGAGGACTACCTTATGATTTCCTGTAAGTATCGGGGTACATTGTTGGGGTGCTGCTTTTCTAAATTAGCCATGTTAATTTTCTTAACAGTGTTAAGAAAATTGAATAATAATTGCTTAATGTTCATTAAAATTAAATGTGTAAAGATACCTTGTCCAGGTATGGTGGTGCACACCTTTAATCCCAGCCCTTGGGAAGCAGAGGCAGGTGGATCTCTATGAGTTCGAAGCCAGCCTGATCTATATAGTGAGTTCTAGGACAGCTAAGGCTACATAGTGAGACCCTGTCTCAAATAAAACAAAATAAATGTGTAAAATGAGTTTTCAGTTTGGAGTCTGTAAGGTAATTGAAAATTGTGAAAAGTAAAGTGCTTGACTTGTTTCTATATAAAGGTGGGATAGAAAGAGGTGGTTTCTTCAGTTACAGAAAGACAGTCTATGACTTTGCAAAATCATGAAGGATGTGATTTAGGACTCTTAGCATTAGGAATCCTCCTTAAACAACTTGGGAAAAAAATGTATGACCAAACTGCTTATTTTCTTGTATGCTTATAGGTATAGGAAACAAACCACTGGACAGAGAAAATCTGAAGTATGAACTTATGTTCTTGGATGCACAATAATACTTGCATACTTGAGTTGTGTGTAAAATACTGTTTATGGAACAGAATGGGAAAGTGCATAGTACTGAGACATAATTTCAAGCATGACAAATTTATTAGAGCACTGAACCAAACTAAGGTGTTTGGGGGATAGCCCTCCAAATGTTTTAAGTTGGCATGAGGACAGCTGTTTGTTCTTATAACATTATACTTCTTGATTCCACTTTCAGATACAAAACTCTGGGTTGGGTAGAGCTGTTTCTAACCCAGTATAAGTTCTTAACTCCTTAAAGCACTAAACTTTGGTAAATAAAAACTCATACACTATTTATAAACTTGCCTAGTTTTCATATATGATACCATATAATAGAGTTCACCAGCATTTTATAGGAAATATCTTTTAAAAGTTATCTAACCTAGGTGTGCTGTGTATGCATGCCTGTAATCTCAAAACTCAGGAGGCTGAGGAAAGAGGACTTCTGCAAGTTTGAAGTAAGCCTAGGCTGCAAAGTAAGATACGGTCTTAAGTTATGATAGAACTTTTAAAAGAAATAGTCCTTGTAAAAAGGAAGAAAAACATCCATTCCAACATGTTTTTATGGAACTTGTGTGTTTAGCATTGCTGTAGGTGATCCAGTTATTGGAAACTACTAAATACGTAAAGAAAGCCATTGTTTCTAGGGAGAACAAAAGTCCTCTTCCACATATGTGCCCGTTACACACATGCACACACACACACAGTAATAAAAATTTAGAAAAGAATATATTTATGTGTGGTTATAATACCTCTAAATGTTTTGCATAATTCCTCATGAAGTTTATGAGATTATCTATTTTTCTAGATTCTAACCAACACACAGCAGTATTTTCCTTTTTAAGTTTCTGCTGGTCTGTAGGGGGATTTGAGATGTAGCTTATTTCAAGTTTAAATTTATTTTGAAAGATAATCCTTGTAGCAGTAGAGAGTAAGAATAAGTGAACAAGAGACAGTAGTTCAAATGGTTCATGTATAAGGAAAAATACCCTTAAGTTGGGGTGTGGTAGTGGTGTAGTTCTGTAACCCCAGCACTCAGGAAGATTGAGTTCTAGGGCCGGTAAGACCTGGCTCAAAAACACAAGCCAGGTGGAGGTGGCACACGTCTTTAATCTCCGCACTTCTGTGAATTCAAGGCCAGTCTGGTCTACAGAGCGAGTTTTAGGACAGCCAAAGCTGTACAGTGAAGCCCTGTCTCAAAAAACCAAAACAAAACAAGAAAATCAAATATCCCAAAGACTTTGATAATAGAGGATTAAAGACAGTTGAACTCAAGAGATTAGAAAGTAAAGTAGATAAGATTTGTTCTTATTAAAGATTGATGGGGAAAGATAATGCAGAGATGACTGGCATTTGACGCTGAGATTTCTGTCTTGGAAGATTTGGTCATGATAATCATTCAATAGGAGGAGTAGTTTCGGTGGGTAAAGATTATGTAGGCTCTGTTAAAAATTTGATGTGCAGCCAGGCGGTGGTGGCGGCACTTGCCTTTAATCCCAGCAATGGGGTAGGTGTTGAAATAGGAGCGACAGGGCTGCGTCCCCGGCACCCGGCCGCCCGCATGGCTAGCTTATACCCAGAAATAATTACACGGAAACTGTATTCTTTCAAACACTGCCTGGCCCGGATAGTTCCAGTTCCTTATGGCTAGCTCTTACATATTGTTCTAACCCATTTCTAATATTCTGTGTAGCCCACGAGCTGGCTTACCAGGGAGGATCTTAACCTGCGTCTGTCTGGAGCGGGAGAACCATGGCGACTCCTCACACAGCTTCTTTTTCCCAGCATTCTCCTCTGTCTACTCCGCCTACCTAATTTTCTATCCAATAAAATGGGCCAAGGCAGTTTCTTTATTAATAAGAAATCACTCCCACATCATTTCCCCTTTTTCTGTTTAAACAAAAAAGAAAGGCTTTAACTTTAACATAGTAAAATTACATATAACAAAACAGTTATCAAGTAAGAATTACAGTTACAATATTTATATCTATTTTATCTCTTATCATAACTAAGGAAAACTATAACTAACCATTCTTCAACTCCATCAAAGACTCCAGAAGGATATAATATTACCTATCAAACAAGAAATAAGAAAACTCTAGAAATGACAGAGACATCTCGCTGCCTGGACAGTCACCCAAAGTTCCTCTGTACCGTTGGGGCATCCATCTTCGGCCTACAGGCCCATAGTATCCAGCAGACATTCTCATCAAGCAAGAAATTCCAAAGACAGTTCAGTCACTTTTTGCTGTGTCCTGCAGAATGTCTCACAGACTCTTTCATGAAGCAGGAACCCCAAAAGGTCATCTCACCTTTAGGCAAGTTCAGCAGTCCTCTCTCTGCGGGTTCTCTGTGTCCAGTTTATGCAACAGTCCAGGCAAGAGCAGTTTCTTGCCCAAATGGCTATCAAACTCCATAAGGATTCTCTTCGATGCCCATCTTCCTCTTGAAATAGATTGGTGCTGCCAGGAGCAAATGTGTCTCATTGTCATGAAAAACCCTAAGTTATTAAAATATCTTAAATGCCATATTCTGCAGCCTTTGAAAGATATGAAGAATGCCTATCTAACTAAAATATCTCTCTATATATCTAGAAAATCTAACTAACATGACTACAAGCTTAAGTATTAGCGATGATTATCCATTAACAACCTATATTTCCTAATTATACATTACATTTTTAAATGAACTACACAATCACAATACCTTAATCAAGATCAAAAATACATATACATATAACAAAATTGACCATAAAATCCATACCAATGCAAATTATTCATATCTATATCATATCCCCCTTTAAATGTAAAAGAACATTTATAAACAATATTTGGGAACATGGGCGTAGTTTTTTCTCTACAAACTGCTTCCTGCTGAATAGGGGCGTCGTTAATTAGGTTGTTCATGATATAACCTGTATGCTAGTTTCATCTCAGTTGGCAATTGAGCGAAGCAATTTTTTGAGGGTATTCACAGCAACCTTTCAGGAGGGCGTGGTCTATCATACCAAATCGGAATAGATGCAATCCACAGGGTCTCATCCTCTGCAAAAACAAAAGAAGACCCTCTCCAAAGCATCATATCCTTAGACCCAAATTCTGAAATCATAATACCCTTATATCCATTTTGGTTTAGATTGGCAGCCCATGTAATGAAATGTCTCTCTGTACTTAGCTCCTTCACAGTCAAAAATTTTAAAGAAAACACAATGTACATAATCCAGACTCTCTGTGAATTTTCCATTTTTACGTGGCTTATATTTCTTTATTTCTTTTAATCTATAACTCTCTGTACTTCTGTACTCTGTCTCTTTAAAGACTTTACCCTTTTTCTTTTTAAGACATTAACTTTATTCTTTATATTCTTTTTCTTCTCTTTCCCAAGCCTACGTACATTTATCCAACAGTGTCTGAATCTGTTTTATTGTGAATCTGTAATTTCTTTACTATACAGGAGCATTTCTTAAAATGTTAAGCATTTCTTAAAAACTTAAGTTGCACCATTTACAGGTAATACGGTACTGCCTGTGTCCTGCCCAGTCTAAACCTTAACTGCACGGTTTTAAGGTAATTACGGTAGTTCCTGCCTGAGATCAGCACAGTTCAGCATGGAGCAGCCGCTCCTGCCTCAGAGTCATTTGGTGCCCCTGAACCATTCACAGTTTCAGGCACACAGCAAGTCCACATTGGAGCCGCACTCAGCAGTTTAACTCTGAGACTGAGTGTGCAGCACAGAAACTCTTTTCATCCAAGTTACAGCCAAATCTGACATGCAGAGCACTGCGCAGTCTGAAAATGCGTCTCTGTATAGCGGCAGGAATCCGCCATGCTCTTCCGCCTGCCTAAGCCTGATTCTGCCTTCTGCCCAGGTGCAGGCGGGGAGCTCTGAGCCATCTGCACGGTCTCAGAGCACTCTCCTCCGATCCCAAGCGGAACACAAACATCCAGTCCCATAAAAGCCTTGAAATGCTTTAAAGCCAGAGTTCATGCTGGCAGCACAGCCCCCAGGAAGCCGCGCTTTAAAATGATGTAGCTTATTTTTCTGCTGTTGTAGCTGAATCAGGAATCTCTCTACAGCACGCCACCAACAAAACAGCAAAAATCTGTGTTAAACTCTCTCTCCCTTATTTTTAAGCCTTCTCAGGTTTTTAAGTGGATTTAGCCCATCACGTCTGGGCGCCATCTGTTGAAATAGGAGCGGCAGGGCTGCGTCCCCGGCACCCGGCCGCCCGCATGGCTAGCTTATACCCAGAAATAATTACACGGAAACTGTATTCTTTCAAACACTGCCTGGCCCGGATAGTTCCAGTTCCTTATGGCTAGCTCTTACATATTGTTCTAACCCATTTCTAATATTCTGTGTAGCCCACGAGCTGGCTTACCAGGGAGG